GTGGCAGGGTTTTGTGGGGGATTTATTTAAGTCCATTTCTTAAAAAATCCATCTTTGCAAGTGACTATTTTCCAAGTGTTTGGCTGTTTTCTGTCCCCTGCTGCCAGCAGAACCACAGCTATCAAACAGTATGCCCTGCATGCCAAACTCGGACCTCGGGAGTGTGGAGAAATAGCTTTTTTTCAGAACCCAGAGCAACATAATTCCCATATATCATCCCCCACCCCCTTCTACTGTGTACCCAGGAAAATCAGAAAGCGTGTGCAAACTCCGCAGATCAAGGGCCGTGCGACCAGTCCTGTGTTAAACAACCAGGTGTGGGACGCCACAGCCAATATGCCACATGCCGCATGCCTCAGCTGCACCGGATCAGCAGGATTACAGATTTTACCAATGACGCAAACTTCCAAAGATTTAACTTGTTCCCCAGCTCAAGCAAAGGCAACAGATGATTGATCTCCATCTGTTTTACCTTGAATGTTAGAGTCTAATCAAAGTGCCAAGGCAAGACACTGTGAGAAGTAAGTTCCCCAAGAGAACCTGTTGAGAACTGCTTTTCAAACCTCATTGTGTATCATTTTATTTATGCCCAAATCTGTACTTTACAACCACGCGAGAGACAAAGACAGAATAATAGAGAGAGAGGGAGAGAGAGAGAATCTTTCCAGAAGGAAAGGAAGAGCTAATTAAGAAAAGAGAGGTACAGGACCATGCATTTACTCTCAAAAGCTTGTTCACGAGCAAGCTAACATTTCTAACACTACAACCACTCATCTACATCTGTTTGCTAAGTAATCGAGTTCTACCTACAACTAGGGAGCAGAGGGGTTTTTCTTTTCTTCCCCCTCCCTTTAAAACGTCAATAAAAATGTTTCTGTACAAGTTGAATGGCACAAAAGGTGGTTAAAATGCTAAATAACTCACCACAAATGGAGAATGCAAAATTAGTTCAAAACATGCATGGACTGTGTACACATAAGCGAGGAATCATTGGCATAAAGCTGCAATATATTACAAGATGATACAGTTGAGATCTTTTGGCATAACCTCTGCTTGTTCTACCCCTTTAAGAGAACTTCACGTTAAACTTCAGTTTAAAGGGACTTCAAGGTATATCCCCAAGCAGAAAGTTAACTACGGGCAACATTATTCGTCTGAAGAGAAAAGAATTCCCCCTCCCCTTCCCTGTACTCTCCCAAAGTACAAAAGTCAATGTAATGCTACGTATAGCATTGCTGCAGGCTTGCCAAAGAGAAAGGTTAGACAGATCTGTTTTAGGAGAACAAAAGCATCATTTAAGTTAATAACTCTTTGTACAACATGTCATTAATTAAATACCTTATTATTTAAACAAAAACAAAATGAAATTTACCAGTCCAAAAAAATAACAGCTCAACCCATATCACCCATGTGTCCTCCAAGGTTATGTACACAGAGTTTAAAGTATACCAGCTAAACTTTAAACCCGGCTGCCCCGCCAACCCCCCCCACTGAACGACAATAGAAAATACATTGTGGCCTCTCAGTTATATTATATTGCAGCTTTGTTATTAATGACAAAATCATACAAAATCAATTAATGATCTAAGACAGTAATCCATGATCAAGCTCCAGTTCAGCTGCATATCTCCCCCCCCTTACCAGGACTGACTTCTCCGTGAACTTGCAGATGACCGAGAGCCGCCACCTCCGGGTGCTGAGCGAAGGCAGCTCATGTCCTTCAGGAAACAGTGGTGCGAACAACTCAGGCTCAGCTCAGCGGGAGCCGCTTACTCTACCTTGTGATTATGTCTGTGACTAAGAAAATAGGCAAAGGCTAGTAACAGCAAAGTCAACAAGCTGGTACCCCTTTCCTGTGCTTCGAGACTAGACAGTGTCATAAGATACAGAAGATCAAGGAGGGAAATGTGTCACAATTTCAGAGAATAGGAGGAGATTTGGCTAGATAGGTTTCCTCTTTCTAAAAGACCCCAGGTGTCTTCTAAATTGACAATTGCAGCTATACTAGTACTGCCACAGTGGTAAAGCCGCTCGGATCACACATCATTTAAATAAGAAGCCAACTTAATAATTTTATATGTCAGAATTTGGTGTGTACTTATAACTCACAGGCTTTCTTGTTCTTACATTCAATACTTCTGCTTCACTTTATCTATAAACAAACACCAATTAACAGTGCAATTCATTCCCTAGACATTCTTCTTTTTAAGGAGACACATCATTAGACAGCATATTAAATCTGGAAAAAGCTCTTCCGTTGTGTTAAAAAAAGATGAAAAAAAGGTGTGTGTGGGGGGGGGGAAGTAGCGCGTTGTTCTGCAACCCCTCAGTGGCTTTCCTATGTGGTCAGCATGACAGGGAGACAGAGCAACACTATGTTTCAGCTGCCACCTGCAAAGGGAGTGATACAAAGATCCACCCATACCTGCTGTGTACCTATGGTTAGAAGCAGATGGAGAAAAGAAGGAAAAAAAAAATCTTCAGTTCCAGAAGACTAGATCTGGGATCTAGTTCTGGGCCTAGACCCCAGTTTGGGGTCCGTTTGGCTCATTACAGACATTTCCTAAGTTTGACTCTGCACATGGGCGTCACAGAAACTTGGGGGGATTTAGAACCGGGTTCTGCTTCAGGTCCACCTTGGCCAAGTGCCACCAGCATATTTCTTTCTGACTGCATTTGCCTGGTGACTCAACAGCTCTGCAACAACTCCACGGTTCAAATGTGACTTGAATTAAACTTGATTTCCTATATATAACTGAAGTATGTTTTAGCTGCAAATAAAGACGGAAGAACCAGCTTGGATAAAATCGAAAGCAGCCTTGAGTTTAGCTGAATGACCTAAAACAAACTGAACCTTCCTTTTTATGTTCAAAGACATTTGGTAATACTTTTCTCTAAAAACCAAGCCAACCATAAATCTCTATTCTGCTTAGTACTAGCTGGAAGTAGCATAGAAAAATACTGAGAGAAATAGAAATGCTGTTTCTAGTTCCATAAACCTGCATGGCTCAGGGCACGTCTGTTGGTAGACTGAGGTGACGGTAAAGCCAATGCTCTTCAAAACCAGCAAATGCAGAGAGCCTGATTTGCTAAGGCTCCTTGTTTGATTTTCAGTCCTACAAGTTATGGAATGATATTTCAGCAAATGGAACCATTTCAACTTCATCAGTAACTACAATAAAATGATATAAAACATCTCCCGAATATAATTTCCTATTACAGATACGTATAAGAGATCACCTTCTAGCTGGGGTCAATGAGGTTTTCTCTGCAAAATCTGCAGCTGTCAGCCAGGAAACTGAATCCACACTTACCTAATCAACCATGCAGAATTATCGACAGCAATCAAGCTTTGAAATAGGAGACCAAACTTGGACCAAATAGATTCAGCTCCCTTAATTACAGAGGAGTTTCTGCCTGTTTTAAGCAGCAGAGAATTAGGTGTATTGGGTTTCACTTGTGTTATACTGAGTGTAAGAAAATCTACAGACACAAAAAAAGACCTGCAAGCATTATGCAGAAAAAATCCAAGAGTAAATGGCAAAAAAAAGTGTGCACATAAGTCACTTGTCCTGCCTTTTAGGAGTAAATTCCCAAGCACTGTAACTCCACTGAAGTTAAAAGAATGATTTCACGACACAAACTAGCATTAAGCATAGATTCCCTTGTTCAGTGTGGCCTTCCTATGGATTTATTGAATGCAACAGCTCTACTACACGTGCCTCAGGATTTCATGGGCAAGATCCTCATCAGCCACTCTGCATGCGCAGCATTAAAGGTAAGCCCCTCCCAGGAGCCCACCTTGGCTTCACCCTGGTGAAAGTGGGTTGCTCCTTTTTCCAGAGTCTGCTGGGCTCCATGGAGAAGGACTGGAGGTCCTGAGGTGCCCTCATTATTCTCTCATACATGTCTTGCAATTTCCCAGTGTGCCAGGCCTGTCCTCCAAGCTTGGCCACGCTGATGAATTTCTATTTCTGATCTAATAGGGAGGGATAAAAATAAAGCCAAAGCAAAGCACAGCCTGGTGCTGTCATTCAGCAAAAGGCTGGACCTTCCCTTCCCCCTTTCGAGGATGACACAGACATCCACACACCAGCAGGAGAGAAAACAGGGCGCAGGGGAGGAATTTCAAATCGAGTTCTCCTGCCTGCGGCCAAGTGTGACCTTATTTCTACAACTGGGAGTGGGACACAGACTGTAGTGGCAGATAGCCTGCATCCCAGATAGATGCCTAGATACCTGCAGGGGCAATAACTCTCTCAATGGGCAGCCAGGGTCCCCTGCTGTTTTTCCATCCAGCACCAAGCTGTAGGGCCTCAGCCAGCCCCAGCCTCCCCCTTTGTTTCTCCGGGGAGTTTCTTGGCTCTCTTCTTTCATTATTCCCACACATCAATGGCATTGATGTTTCCAGCACTCTGCCTCATGCTCTCCCTTCCATTTGATTTTCTGTGAAGTTCAAGCTTATTTCACCACTCAGTAAATATCTCCTAACAAATGCCTCCTTCCACTGCTCTTGGAAACAAGTCTCTTCTCTTTGTTTCCCGTGACACTGGCCATCAGGGCATCTTTCTCTAATGATGCCAACTTTCTTTTTTTCAGCTGACAGACTCTAATTGCTGCAAAGATTTGTTAATTCCCTTTGGGAATCCTCCTGGTTCAATTCTTTTAGTGGCAAACTGTCAGACCTAGGGAAGCTCGGAAACTGGCTCGAGTGTCCTGAGCTACAGTTCACTGAGCTACAGAGCAAGAGCCAGAATAGGTTAGCTC